AGATAGATAGATAGATAGATAGATAGATAGATAGATAGATAGACAGACAGCTAAACAAAATAGAAGAGAAAGAGAGAAAGATTGATAGATGAAAGAAGAGATAAAAGAAATAAAAAGATAGATAACGACAGATAATAGAAAGAAGAGCTAGGAAGAACGGTAGATAAGATGATAGATATATAGAAAGAGTGGACAGTGGATCAATAAAGCCACTGTTTTCAGCGTTGTAGTCACTTCGAACGGTCACTAAAGTAATAGTTATAAATTGAAGACGTCCTGTGTTGAACTCCTACCCTTTTCTTGGAAAGCTGGTCAAAGACCGTAAGAAAGAGACTTGATTTTGACACGAAGCCGTGCTCTTCTCTTCCGCTTGCACATTCAAGGACCAGATTTAATCGGGTCTGCTCAGCCCTGGATCACTCATCCCCGTAGCTGTGTTCACACAACCCCCCCCCCAACCAATGAACCCCTTCCCTGACCCGTCTAACCCACACGAGTTGCCTTCCCACAACCAAACCACTAACCCAGGCTTGACAAAACGGAGCCTGGGGTTACAAACGCAGCCCAAAGATCCGAAAACATCCGGTGGGTGGGTCACAAAGCGGGCCCGTGTCCTTTGGTCTACCTTGGTGGGTTCCAGCTGTTCCAGAATGTTCTCCTGATGGGTGGCAGCCACTTTATCGGTGTTTCTCTCCTGCTTTCTCATCTGGGTGGTGGGCGAGGTGGACGGACTGGAGGCGGCGCTCAAATACGTCCCGTTGCCGAAGGCCTGGATGGCATTTTCTGAAAGGAAGGAAGGAAAAAGGGATGTGTGAGAGACATACAACCATCACACCCCCAGCTGGAATCAGTTGTGCATCCAGTTTGGGTCGCCACGTTGCAAGAAAGACGCTGAGACTTTGGAAAGAGTGCAGAGAAGATCTGGAGACTAAAACGTACGAAGAACGGTTGCAAGATTTGGGTATGGCCAGTCTAGTGAAAAGAAGGACTGGGGGGGGGGGGACAGGAGAGCAGCATTCCCGTATTTGAGGGGCTGCCCCAAAGAAGAGGAGGGGGTCCACTTATTTCCCAGAGCTCCTGAAGGCAGGATAAGAAACAACAGATGGAAACAAATCAAGGAGAGAAACAACTTAGAACTAAGGAGAAACTTCCTAACAATGAGGACAATTAACCAGTGGAACAGCTTGCCACCAGATGTTGTGGGTGCTCCATCACTGGAGGCTTTTAAGAAGAGACTGGACAGCCACTTGTCTGGAATGGTAAAGGGTTTCCTGCCTGAGCGGGGGGTTGGATAGAAGACCTCTAAGGTCCCTTCCAACTCTATTCTGAATCGGAATCTTTCCACTCTGTGAAGGGTTATTGAGGGTCAGGGGGTTGAATCCCCCTTTCACATAGAAAGCTAGCATTTCTGGGAAATGGGCTAGTGCTTCTCCTTGAGGAGCTAGATAGATAGAGAGACCAGCTAGATAAGGAGCTAGATAAGGAGAACAATTTCCATAAATGCATAGTATATATCAGGGGTCTTCAAACTTGGCCCTTTTATGACTGGTGGACTTCAACTCCCAGAATTCCTCAGATAGGCACGCTGGCTGAGGGATTCTGGGAGTTGAAGTCCACCGGTCATCAAAGGGCCAAGTTTGAAGACCCCTGATATAGACTTTAAGAGGAGTGGACCTCAACTCCCAGAATTCCTCAGCCAGCGTTCCTGGCTGAGGGATTCTGGGAGTTGAAGTCCACAAGTCACCAAAGGGCCACGTTTGAAGATCCCTGGTTTACGGGATAACAGAATTGGAAGGGACCTTGAAGGTCCTCTAGTCCAACTCCCTGCTCTGGCTGGAGCCACTATAGTATTTCAGACAAATGGCTGTCCGTTTCTTGAAAACTTCCAGTGATGAAACATCCACATCTGGTGGCGAGCTGTTCCACTGGTTAATTGTTCTCACTGTCAAGAAATTTATCCTTAGTTCTACATTGGGTCTCTTCTTCATTTCAGGTCGTCCTTGATTTACGACCACAACAGAGCCCAAAATTTATGTTGCCAAGCAGGTCAGTCGCTAAGTGAGTTTTGCCCCATTTTATAACCTTTCTCGCCCCGGTTGTTAAGTGAATCACTGCAGCTGTTAAGTTAGCTACACGGTTGTTAAGTGGATCTGGCTTCTCCCATTGACTTTGCTTGCCAGGAGGTCGCAAAAGCGGATCACGGGACCCCGGGACACTGCAACCGTCATAAGTACGAGTCAGTTGCCAAGCATCTGAATTTTGATCACTTGGCCACAGGGACGCTGCAACGGTCGTAAGTGTGAAAAACGGTCCTAAGTCACTTTTTTCCAGTGCCGTTGTAACTTCTGAACGGTCACTAAATGAACTGTTGTCAATCAAGGACCAGTTGTAGTTCCCATCCCTCGCTTATGGGAAGCTGCTCAAAAAGGGACAGCCAGCCTGTCTGGGTGGCAAAGTCACACACACACACACACACACACAGAAAGAGAAAGAGAGAGAGAGACAGACAGACAGACAGACACGCGCGCACACACACACACACACACACAAATACCCGAAGATGCTGAGACTAGCTTGGTGTCCTTCCGGCTTCAATCTCGTCACCTTGCCTTGAGGCTGGATCGTTTCGCATCCTCGATGGGCTTTGATGGATGGAGACTTACTCCCATCTGGGATGAGGCTGTCGTGTCCCCCCCTCATCCCCCCCCCACCTTACAAGGCTCTCTTCTTTCATCCTCAAGGAGACATCGGACATTTGTTGAAGCACGCACACACACTCCTTGCTCTCTCCAAAGACCTGGTCTGAATAAGCATCAGGACTCACTCCAGACCTGACAATAAATCTTCCCTCTTAGGAGAAAGGAGAAGAGGAGGAGGAGGAGGAGAAAGAAAGAAAGAAAGAAAGAAAGAAAGAAAGAAAGAAAGAAAGAAAGAAAGAAAGAAAGAAAGAAAGAAAGAAAGAAAGAAAGAGGAAGGATGGATGGATGGATGGATGGAAGGAAGAAAGAAAAGGAAGGAAGGAAGAGAAAGAAAGAAAAAAAAAGGATGGATGGAAGGAAGGAAGGAAGGAAGAAAGAAAGAGGAAGGAAAGGAAGGAAGGAAGGAAGGAAGGAAGGAAGAATAAGAATAAGAATAAGAATAAGAATAAGAATAAGAATAAGAATAAGAATAAGAAGAGTAAGAAGAAGAAGAAGAAGAAGAAGAAGAAGAAGAAGAAGAAGAAGAAGAAGAAGAAGAAGAAGAAGAAGAAGAAGAAGAAGAAGAAGAAGAAGAAGAAGAAGAAGAGGAGGAGGAGGAGGAGGAGGAGGAGGAGGAGGTGGTGAAATGCACCACAAATGTAATCAAACTAGAGGGTGGTGTCCTTGATGCTGTCTGAGCTTTGTTGTTTTCTTGCAGACATTTCGTTAGCCAACTATGGAACATCATCAGTTCTAGAAGGGAGTGGGGTTTGTGAGGAAGAGGAGGAGGTGGAGGACGTTGAGTTCCTTATTGCTGTCTGACCTTGCTGGTTTCCTTGCAGACGTTTCATGACCCAACTAGGTAACATCATCAGTGCTAGAAGGGAGAAAGATTTGCGGACAGGAGGAGGGAGAAGAAGAAAGAGAAGAAGAAGGAGAAGAAGGAGAAGAAGGAGAAGGAGAAAGAGGGTCCTTGATGCTCTCTCAGCTGGGTGGTTTCCTTGCAGACGTTTCATGACCCAACTAGGTAACATCATCAGTGCTAGAAGGGAGTGGGCTTTGCTTTCACTTCATCGATTGGCGGCTTGCCCTGTCCGTCTAGTTGCAGGGAAAGACAGCCAACCGGACAGGCCCTTTTGAAAGGCCTAAACGCCCCCCCCCTCCCACCAGCCGTCAAGGACCGCAGTCCCAAGCAAGGCGCCTCCTCCATCCAACCGTCTCCGACGCGCTCAGCGAGGCAACACTTACGGAGGCAGAGATTGTCGGTGAAAAGGTGCAGGAAGCGCTCGCACTCTTCCTGCCGGTTCCCGCTGGCGTTGCAAGTGCACCAGGGCGCAATGTTGGCGGTCGAGTTGTCGATGTAGTTGGGCGTGATGGTGCTGCCTGCCGAGGGGAGGGAAGGAACAGAGAGCGTCTCTGAGAAAGCGAGGAAAAAATTTCCACGTTTTTTCTCCCCCCCCCAACGGGGCGACTTGAAGACTTGCGGACTTCAACTCCCAGAATTCCCCAGCCAGCCGCGGCTGGCTGGGGAATTCTGGGAGTTGAAGTCCACGTCTCTTCAAGCGACCGACCTTGGGAAAAAAAACGCCATCATTTTGAAATGGCCAAGGCTGAAAAACTCTTCTGTAAAATACCTCTCCTGCACGTCAATCAATCCATCAGAATAGAGCCCGGAAGGGGCCTCAGAGGTTATCTAGTCCAACCCCCTGCTCAAGCAGGAGGCCCTATACCGTTTCAGACAAATGGCTGTCCAATCTCTTCTTAAAAACCTTCAGTACATTTAAGTCAATTTCCTTGCACTCTAAGCCAGGGGTAGGCAACCTTGGTGCTTTTATGACTCGTGGACTTCAACTCCCAGAATTCCTGAGCCAGCCATGCTGAGGGGAAAGGGAGAGGTTTCCAAGCTGAGCCATGCTGGGTCAGGAATTCTGGGAGTTGAAGTCCATGAGTCATAAAGCGGCCTAGCCCTAGGCCAGGGGTAGGCAACCTTGGCCCTTTTATGACTCGTGGACTTCAACTCCCAGAATTCCTGAGCCAGCCATGCTGAGGGGAAAGGGAGAGGCTTCCAAGCTGAGCCATGGTGGCTCAGGAATTCTGGGAGTTGAAGTCCACGAGTCATAAAAGAGCCCAGGTTGCCTACCTCTGGCCTAGGCCTAGGCCACTTTATGACTCGTGGACTTCAACTCCCAGAATTCCTGAGCCAGCATGGCTCAGCATGGAAACCTCTCCCTTTTCCCTCAGCGTGGCTGGCTCAGGAATTCTGGGAGTTGAAGTCCACCAGTCATAAAAGAGCCAAGGTTGCCTGTCCCTGCCCTCAGCCATCCCATCGCTGGCTAGAGAATTCTGGGAGTTGAAGTCCACCCGTCTTAAAATGGCCCAGGTTGAGAAACATTGCTATACAGGTAGTCCTCAACTTACAACAGTTCGCTTAATGACCGTTCAAAGTTACAACGGCATTGAAAAAAGCGACTTATGACCGTTTTTCACAGTTACGACCGTCGCAGCGCCCCCGTGGTAACACGATCAAAATTCAGATGCTTGGGCAACTGACTCATATTTATGACGGTCGCAGTGTCCCGGGGTCACATGATCCACTTTTGCGACCTTCTGACCAGCAAAGTCAATGGGCAAGCTGGATTCACTTAACATCTGTAGCTAGAAAGGTCGTAAAATGGGGCAAAACTCACTTAAGAACTGGCTGACTTAGCAACATCAATTTTGGGTTCAATTTTGGTGATAGGTTGAGGTCTACCTGTACAGCGTGTTTTAAGAAAAACCGTTTATTTTATTACCAGCCTGGGGAAAAATTAGACTTTATTTTTTTTTCAAAACTACAGAACAAACTAGAAACGTCGGAATGAATGATTAAAAAATAAAACGCGAAAGCAACAAAGAAAATTGTATAAACATTCTAAGCCTGTTACTTAGCTTTAAAATATTTAACAGTATCCTGTAGGAAGATTTCTAATGAAAAAAGAGAAGACGGCGTTATGAATTCCAGGCAAATGGAAACAGATTGCAGCTTTTTTGGAAGAGCGGAAAATAATGTCTTTGCAAAAAAGGGATAAGTTATTATAATTTTTTAAATGGGGGTTATATTTTTATAAATACTGCAAATTGCCAGTGCGTACATGAAGGGGAAGTTTCATTTTTTTCCCCTTTTATTATGCAAAAACAAGGAACAATACCACGGAGGCCTTAGTTTTAAGTATTAAGCTTAAGATAGAAATCTTTAGCATAAAGTAAATAATTTAACATTATTTGGCAGTTGTTTATCGGTGCCACACTCGATTTTAGATGTAAAAAAAACTAAGCAACCTTAGGCTTATCAACATTAATATTTTAGAAATCTTAGTTAACATTGATATAAATCTGTTTTCTTTAGTTTTAAAGGTTAAAGGGTTCTAAATCATCAGAGTGTTAACAATCTCCAGTCCCCGTGGTCTAAATACCACTGTATCCGAAGACTGCAATGTATTATTCATATTTAATTTTTTTTTT